CTAGGCTCTGTGAACCAAAATTTTAAGCAAGCCATATGAGGGCCCCAACGAAGTTTAAAAAGCCTAAATAAACCGTGGCAGTCTTATCAAATCTTGAAAAAATCCGCCTAAAATGTTTTATTTTGCCGAAAAAGCATTCAATCAAATGACGTTCTTTATAAATATGCTCATCATAATACCTCTGCACTTTTCGGTTACGCTTCGGAGGAATAACAACCTCACATCCTTTATTCTCAAGACCCACAATAAAAGCATTACTATCATAGCCCTTATCGGCCACCACAACTGAATTTGAGACATTCTCAGTTAATGCTTCAGCCTGTGTAATATCGTTCCTTTGACCAGCAGTTAAAGTAAATTTAAGCGGATTTCCCAGAGCATCAACAAGAGCATGTATCTTTGTTGTAAAGCCACCTTTGCTGCGTCCCAGTGCTTCTTGAGCTCCGGTATCCTTCTTGTATCCAGCCGCACAAGCATGTGCTCTAACGATTGTTCCATCTATCATTTGCACTTCCAAATCTGGATCTTGTGTATATTTGAGCAGCTTTTCCCAAATTCCCTTTTCACACCACTTTTTGAATCTCTTATGTACGCTTCTGTAATTGCCATATATTTCTGGTAAAAGTCGCCATTGGCAACCACTTCGAGCCATGTACCACACTGATTCCATGAACCTTCTTATCCGATCTTCGTTTTTACTGTGTATTCCTTTTACGCTTTTCAAATTTGCAAAAATTTGTTTCCATTTTGTTTCTTGTATGTAATATTTCATTTGGTAGTTTCTCCTTATTTATTCACGGTTAAACTACCACTTTTTTCTTATTTCTCCAAATTTTGGTTCACAGAGCCTAGGTTGTCATGATTTTTATCCGGATGACACCTTCGAGCTAATTTTTTATATGCTTCCTTTATATCGTGACTAGAAGCATTTCTTTTGACCTTCAAAGTTTCGTAATAACTGACATGTTCTGCCGAAAAGTTAGTAATTGTATGCTGATCATAGTAGAAGTGGCTTATAGTGTTATGATTTACTGGAATGCAATAAATAGTATACTTCTTCATTGTATTATTACTTGTATACTGTTCTATTTCTTCTAGGAATTTTGTGCTATCTTTTATCGAAATATAATCCACCATACTTCTATCCCGATTATACCATTTCATTGCATACTTGTTGATAATTGCTTGTACAATTTCCCCTATTTTAGTCTCTTTGATACTAAATATCGCTCCCATATTGGGGTCATACACTGAATACTTATCATTTAGTGTATGCTTATTTTTTAATTTCTTTACAACTATACTATGGCCATGCAAAAATTTATCATTGTATCTACTGGCAAATTCAATGCTAGCATAATGACCTTCAGGAACTACACGCAGGCTATCTGTCAAAGTGCTTGTGTCCAGTGTAAATGCAGTTTTAGAATCATTTATACTTACAATACATGGATGGTCTGGTGATAATATTGTAACTTGAGGCGAAGGTATAAATCCCCTAATTCTCTCATTTATGTTGCTGGTATAGAAAATTTCTACTTTTGGAGGCAGCAAATTCACTAACTCTAGTAATTTCCTTCTCCTTTCTTCTTTTGTTACTGCGGTTAAGTTGTAAAAAAATTTCTCAAACCTTTCTTGGTTCATAAGTAAATCGTTATAAGTAACAAAGTGAGATAGTATCTGACATATACCGTTGTCTATTCTGGAGCCAGCCCCTTTAAAAGCTGTTTGTGCAGATCTATCCTTGTTTATCCTCTTTATTAACTTTCTATGTGATGCACCGATGCTATGTTGGTACTGGTAAATATCAAAGCCAAACAGTTCATTAATGTCATTTCGGAGATTTTCCTTATCTGCATTAAAATGTTGATGTGGAGGATTTAAGTACTCCTTCTCTATTTCATATATCGTTTTTCTACCCATAATTAATAAATTAATTTAATATATTAATATATTAAACTATTTTATTATTAAAATAAAGAGATATTTTATTAATTTTTTAATAACTATCGAGGAGATATAGCCTACCTATGATGGTTCAAAAGTGATAAGATAAAGGTTTTTGGTAATTAGAAGCTTAGAATGCCTGGTTCAAGCATAGGGCTAAAAAGAACATTAGACCTTCTGCGAAACAAAGAAATAAACGTCAAATTCTTTTTGGGGGGTACAAANTTTTAAAAAATATGAAGAGAAACCTTCCAAGCTAAGTTTCACGTTTTGCAGAAGGTCTATTCCTGCCTTCAAATCTTTTCGTCAAGCTAGTTGATTCTTCCTTTCTATCGGACTACTGTGAAAAGGGCTATAAGTTGCCACTTTCTCCATTCACCATAACAGATTTTGAATAAAAACTTGCATATATTGCATGTTTAATATAATATTAATATATTTAGCAATT